TGGAAGCTGGAATTCTTCCTCAGAATTAGAAGCAGCGAAACGAACGAGCTCATCGCGCAGATCCGGGAACGACGGATGGGTTCTGTCAACTGTGCTTGCCGTAGACTCGCTCGAAACGACCGAAGGGGACGACGACGAGGCAGCGAACTGGAGGACAGGTACCACGGGACTAGGTTCGACGGGACGCGGCGAGGAGGAGAGCTGGAAAGTGCGATCCGCGAGAGTAGATTGGACTACGCCTTCATTGCGAGACTCTTCCTCTGGAACGGGCGTCGAGGACGAAATTGGGTGGGGAAGGGCCCAATTCAGCTCGTTGATGCGTTTGTCGGCAAGACGTAAATCTATCCATGAATAAAGGAGGGTTCTTCGCGCTTTGCTCTGCTCCTGACGAATATCTATATGCATGGAAATGAGAGATGTACTCACGCCGAAATAAATAAAATACGCACCTTTGTACTCCTCTTCGCGCTCCTGCTTCATAGCGTCGAGGTCGGCGAGCAGATCCCCGAAGATATCCTCGTAACTGTTCTCAGAGAATGATGCCTTAGGAGCAGGAAGGAAGCGGTGGCGAGAGCGCTGACGCAGCGATATTTTCAGTCGATGCTAATCTCGAACGGGAGAAATAAGAAGGCTCACCGGAGCAGAACCCGCTTTGAAAACCCTGCTGTAATACTTCGCATTGGAGGAGACCTTGGTAAAATCCAGGCAGTATAGCAAGATGAATGCGGCGTCCGCTCGTATTCTCCGGATCCGCGACTTGACGCACCGAGCCGCCGCGAGGATTAAAAGAGTAACTGCGACGGCGAGGACTAATGCGAAAAGGAACGGAGCAGGGACGACGTTCGCGATGTTCCAGGCCTTACGCGCGATCACATCCTTATACGGGGTCAGCACGGTGCACGAGTAGTGCAGCCACCGGGAACATACCGGGACACCGAGGAAGTACCATGCAATATAGCACCATGCCTCCAACACCATTAAGATCGCCTCGTTTGTCATATGCGCCTCCACGGGGTAAAATCCTTCCTGACCACGGCGAGGGATCGCGTTGAGGTACCATCGGTGCTCTAGATTGTTGAGAGCAATCCACGACCCAACAAGCAAGCCAGCAGAAGCGAGAGAGCATACGGCGGATGAGAACCTCTCGTACTTCTCGCCCTTCGTCTTGACGCAAAGGGTCCAAGCGAGGTGGAAAGCGGATCCGATGACGATGAGCCATGTCAGGAGCGCCGAGGTGAGGATGACCTTCTCGTTAAGGCTTTGAGAGTTGCGTAGATCCTGAAGACCGACGAAGACAAAGAGGCTGTATTGAAGGGGCCGAAAGGCGACGCGAAGCGAGGTGCGAGCAAGGGCCAGAGCCCAACGATAGACACGAGTTGGGCTGAGCTCAAAGGGGAAAGCACCTGGAAGGAGGAATAAGAGGGAGATCAGCTCGCAACACCATTGGATGGTGAAGACGGCGCCGTCGCCCTGGCGTCTCAGAGGGCCCGTCGAAGTGAACAGAAGGAACGACCCGATGATGAAGAGAACGAGGGCGAGCACGTTGTCGACTGGTCCCGACAATCCCGACCCGTAGGTTCTGGTGGGGCTTCCGCTGTGGGTGCGAGTAGGCTGGATGTAGGTCTTGACCCAGGCCGCAGGGCGGTCGACGACCTCAGGCGGAGCGGTGCCGCCGCCGAAGGTGTTGACGACGAGGCGCTTGAGGGCCGCGAAGTCGAGGAGGTTGATGTTGAAAGAATACATTGTAGTAGTGTTGCTATGCTGCTGTAGTCGTGACGGTGGTCGAAAGCCTTCGTAACGGTTTGTGTTCAAGATGAAGAGGTGGTTCCAGTCCGGACTCACCTTTTATACCACTGGCAGTCGAACTTGCCGGCCGCTGTCATCCACCACGTTCTCGTCAGCCATGGCGTCGCGCGATAGAAGGTCGGCCAGAATTGAAACACCCTCGAGGGTGTGTTCAATGGTCGCCAGCTGGAGAGGACAGCAGTGCGTGTAAATGCCCACACGAAAGCTATAACGAACACGGGGGTCGAGACCCTGCAGTGAAAGCGCTAGGATATCTCACATCAGTCTCCGAATAGAATACATGGAGGGGGGGCGGGGGATAATGTGACGCACCAGAGGGTTGTGCCGATCCGATCGACGAGCGTGGAAGAGGGGCAATGCACCTTCACTCAAAGTAACGAATCTATCAAAGGAGCGGTGGAATCGCCCGTATATCAAGAATGCCGAAAAGCGGACCAACCGTCTTTGTCACGACTTGGAGTATGATCATACACTGAGGGACATGACTCGTCAGATGGTTCTAAGCGGGGGCTAACCCACCGGTCAGATAACTTCAGAGGATATCCAGTAAGTCCAAATATATGATCATAACGAGAGCACAAGACATATGTCCCTATAACGAGGGCGAATTGGCACTGGTATGTCACGATCGATGGCAGAGGATGCCGATCTTCAGCAATCCTTTGCAAGGGATAATGACGGCGCCAGTACAATTCCTTTATCTTTCGTGTATTCCAGGTTCTGCGGAGGATTCCATAGAGGCTGATATTCAGCGATTGTGCCAGTCGCGAGTCCTATCGACTTGCAGGGAGACAACCTGCATGCATATTGGCATTACTGTGGAACTCTTCAAGTTCCCACGCATATACTAACCAGCATGCTGTCCTTTTGATATTATCGGCGCTTGAGTCAGCTTCAACTTGATCGTAGTTCACCACAGGGAGGTCTGATATAAGATTCCACTCTATGCCCGTAAGTAGTGGATTCGGAGGCACACGGACTGGCGTTCAGTAAACACGAGTTGATCGCGACGCTTAATTTTCATGTGGGTGGCACAGCCTCCGGAAGCAATCGCCTCTGTCCTATTGCTAGAGCTCGTTCGTATTCTCTACCCTCATTAGCCGATTGCAATGGGCAAGCAACAACAATTCCCCGAGGTCGAGTGCATACAGAAAAGCCCGTGTTCAACTTGAAAATTGATATATAGTCCAACAATCGAGATGCAGATGGTAAACCAAGCCCTTCAGTCTCGCGAGGAAGGCTTCCCCGCCAAGATCAGAAGGGCGTGAACGGTACTCTGAATAACACGACCTTCGGTCGGAAGGAGGACGAGGTCAATAGGTGCGCGGGGGAAGAGACCATTTTGTAGGATGTTACCGGATCATCGTATCGCAGATGCGAGAAGGAACAGGTCACCGTGTCCAGGACTCATCCATCCATGCTCCCCGACGTGATATACAAAGCATGACTGTAGCCTTTTCGTCGGGGCATATCGCAGGTGCTACCCATCTCCACAAAGGTCGGATGCCGGACCAGAATGTCACCTACGGCCGGCTGTCCAGAGAGTTCCCTTGCAGAAACAGTAAGAATGCAGAGCACATCAGTCGTACCTGCTCGCGAAACCACCTTAAACCCCTGATCGTCATGCCACAGCCCATCGTGAGTGACGAGGTTCTCACTCAGAGTACTGCGATGGCCGTGCATTGGACCGCGCGGCGAAGGCGGTTTCAGCAGACAAGAGAACTGGGATGGGTGGCTGGGATGGGTAGCTGTTCACCGACCGCAGCATGCTGCTTCTGCCGTTACCATCGATGGCGAGGATATACGGAGGAAGCTACATTGAAGCTCCTATATGTGAATAGACACGGGGCGGAAGGAGACAGAAGTAAAGGTAACTGGCACGTATGACCCAGCGTGCGATAAGGAATCGAAGCCATTCGCTCACCTCGATGCTTGCCACGAACAACGGTCTAGCGTGTCCAGCCCTTGGGGCCTGACCGGCATTCGGGCCGCCCGCCCAGTCCAAAACTATGGCTCCTGCACCAGGGCGGCCATGATTCTGGACAACCATGGCCACCCTCGTATAGGCGGGCAATTGAAGGCGGCCTTTTTGCAAGCCATCGTAAGCAAATATGTATGCGCCCGACACGCTTTCATGCCAGGGGCATGATCGTGGAGGCAACGGCTATCCGATCAGCGATAAGCGATCCGAATTTCTCCTAGCCTGGTCGACTCTGCTGTAGCCCGAGCGCAGAGAATCTGAGGGCCAGAGAACAACGCAACGCACCGAGAGATAGAATATAGCAGTCCATACTCGCCATCTGTTGCAATGCCCCAATGGCATCCACCACGCATATCATCGAACCTATCAGGGCCACTTACCTGACAAGTACCTCGCTACGGGTACCAAGGAAAGCCACGAACTAGACAGTTGCGACTCACCATAAACTGCTCTCTCCTCCGGAGTTCCGGGCTGACTCGGATGGTGACCAGGGAAATCCATTCAATGAAATTCATGGGGTCAGCGCTCTGCTCAGAGTCGCCACCAGTCTATCATCTGACAGAGCATCATCATCCAGACTAATCCTTGATAGGCTGGCCGGGAGATATAGCCAGTCGAAGTTAGACTATTCCAAGTAAACGGATCAGAGTCACACTCCAGCGTCAGCGGGCTAGCAATCTAAGAGATGAAGTGCCGCGACTCTCGATAAACAGCTTCTGTTCCTCAATCCAGATATATCGAGCACAAAGCGGTCAGAGCGAGAGGGAGTCGGTCGAGGCGGGCGGCAACATTGGAGTGTCGTGGGTACTGGCCGAATCACTGGGGTATCACGGGTCCCGCTATTCGATCTCGATCTCGAGTCTATCAGCCAGTCCATTGTATGTAAGGGGTCTTCACCGTACTCGAACAGAGACCATCAGTGAATTCTCATTCCACCGGCCCTCCCCCTCTCTCTCAGCCTTTACCTTGCGATACATCCCTTTCCTCTATCCGACGAACGAGCCCAATGCCTGATTCAGAGGCCTACGACAGCGACACCGACCGCAGTGGCGGCGACTTCATTGTGTCATGGGGTGCTCACAAAGACAAGCCGCTTGCATATTGCGACCCTGACTGGATGAAATGGTCTCTTGGGGAGGCAGGAGTATGCCAGAATGTACGTCGATTATCTGCTGGTACTTTTCGGGAGGCATTATATGGCTGGGAGTGAGGTGTTGAGCAGTGGAAGAATGCATATTACGAGTCATCACTCCGATTTACGGACTAGTGGGGGTTACGAGTGTATGCATCTGCGATATTACCAGAACGCCGAGCCTTACACCAATCACTTGGTTCTAATGATTTCCCTCATCTTGTCAGTACCCCGAATTCATCGAACCAGCAACACAATATCTGCGTTACCTCTCCCGCAATCCTGGGGTGTGCATTGTACCCTTTGGCAAGAAACACCGAGGAAAGCGGTTGGAACAATGCAGGGACCTGCCTTGGATCCAATGGTGCTGTACATGGGCGGCGGAAAAGGTACGTTCTCGATGCCAGTTTTACCTACTGTCAGTCGGTACGGCACAGTGCATGTGGTACTGTGGTACTGTTGTCGGTCGTTTTGTAGTATGAACTTCCGGCGTATGGGATTGTGGATTGCTGTCCCGGATTCGCTGCTTTGTTCTCGTCTGATTTCGTTCGGTCTCCTCATGTGCTCGGTCTGACGGAGATGACTGCTTTTGTGTTTACCTCCGTACAAGCGCCTCGCGATGTCTTCGGACTCATAGGCGCATTCCAATTCGTAGCTCTGAGGCACGTTCATACTTGGATTACAGTTATGCAGGGACCTTGCCAACGTCCCTAGAGCTACGAGCTGTGCATCACCGTTCTAAACTGAATCGTGTCATTCTCATCCATATATGCTATAATTGCTAACCTCTGACATGTGCCTGTAGCACCCAGCTTGGGTCGAGTGCGCTGTGCACTGGCTCCAAGTCCGGCCCAAGCGCAAAGAAATGGTCAAACGCGACGTCGGCGAACCGCTCACCTGGAGGGACGACGTTTACACCCTCGAGGACGAGGACGACGAATACATCCCTCCGTCACGAAGTCAAAGTTCAAATCAAAGTGAAAGCGACGCGGCCTCGGTTGCAGATGATGATGCAGTCATCGTCTTTGACGACGGTGGTGACGACGAAGATGAAGATGAAGAAGGCAGTCGCCTGGACCCGAAGGAGTATAAAGAGGACGCGGGCGAGGCAGACGAGGAGCTAGCCAAGGAACGCGAGGCGGACGAGCAGGACATCTATGGGAACCTGAAGGGCTTCGTCGTCTCTGACGGGGAGGGCGAAGATACCGACGACGACGGCGAAAAAGACGAAACAGCAGAACAGACACAAGTCAAGCAGGAAGTGAAGGACGAATCGGAAGACGACCATCCGCGCTCCCCTGCTCGAACCAATTCCAGGGCGACGTCCCAATCCGGGAGCGACTCTGATGAGGGCTCCTCCCCGGAGTCCGGGTCGGACAGCGACGCCTCGTCCGCCCCCACCTTTGCTTCTGTCCTCTCCTCGCACAGCACTCGCGCGAGCTCCATCTCCTCGGACTCGAACACGGACTCCGAGAGCGAGCCGCGGCGTTCCTCGCCCTACCTGACGCGGAACAGCCAATCCCAACGTGGTAGTGCTAGTACATCAGGACGCAGGCTCCGCGGGCGGGGACACAGGACGCCGACCCCGGACCCGAGTGATGATGTTGATGAAGAGCCTGCTGCCCTACGCACCCCTCCTAGGACTCGGCGGAAGCGCCTCATTCGCCATGGAGGAAATGCGCGCCCGGCAAGTGAAGACGAAGATGAAGCTGAAGAGGCTGCACCCCTGCGTACTTCTCCGAGGACGCCGCGGAAGCCCCGGATTCGCGCGCGAGCGGCTCTACAGTCAGGTAGCGATGTTGACGAAGATGAGAAACCACGTCGTCGCCCTCCCGCCCGCAAACGCTCCCGTGTCGTCCCAGATTCCGACACTTCCGATGGCGGAGCAGCCGCTGCCCTCCCCACTCCTCGCAAGACACCCCGCAAGCGGAAAGCCATAGACGCCCCCGAGTCTGACGGGTCGTGCAACGAATCTGATTTCACGCCCGAGCCTCCCGACCAGCTTCTGGCGCGTTTCCTCTCGCAAAAGCAGAGTGCACGCCTTCCGGAAAGCCCGCGCAGAGCGGCACGGCCTATGACGCCGACCAGCCTGCCGCGGAAGAGGGATCGTCCTAGACAAGAGCGGTCAGAGGACGAGTCCGTTCCTGATGAATATTCGAACACCCGGCGAGACGAGTCTTCAGCCGAGGATGCGGAGTCTAGCGCGTCGCGTAGAGGCCCTCCCGAGACGCGGAGCCACGCACACAGGGCAGAGGCCGGCTTGTTGTTATTCTCTCCTTTCGTGGAGATCAACAGTCGTCGCAGGGTACTTCGCCGCGATTCAACCCCCATCGAACCATCGACGTCTGCTCGGCAACAGCCACCAGTGGCTTCCAGGACACGAAGTCGTGCGAGTAGGATAACAGAAGTCATTGCTCTATCTCCTTCTCCAGCAGTAGAGGTTGTCGTAGATCGACGTATGGCAAAGCGACATCGATCAGATAGCGGTGAAGGCTTCGATTATGCGCTGGGTACGTGCTTCCCAAGAGGATTCTCAGCTCTCAATTCTGAGTATGTTCGGGCAGCTCTGCTGGCGAAGAAGTCAAAATCGAAAGCTCCGGCTCGGGCCCAACGTCTCTTCATGTCCCATATTCTGCTTCCTCCCATTCCCCGTCATGCCGTCAAGCGTAGCAGATCTGTCTCCCTAGGCGATTCCTCTCGACCATCCGTCGCCTCGGGCATCGGGGATTGCCCTGCCAGGACATGCCATAGCTCGAAACATCGCCGGCGCCTCAACGCGGAGTCGCGGACTACGATGAAGAATGGTTGCCGGCGTCTCGGGCTGCAAGACTGCGATGAGTAGGATCTCCGACTCATCCTTGCTTAATACGTGTACAGTACGTTCTCGAAATTGTATGAGAGCAGGTTCTGTGGATGCCAGCAATAGGAAACTCATGGAGAAGCAGGCGGTCACGCCACAGATGCACCGAAAGCATTTAATTTAGAATATTAACGGTTAAAACACGTAAGAAACAATTATATACTCAGCACCCAAATATGGCATACATTGCGCTTATTGAAGTATTAAGCGCTCTCAGGGCGGTGGCAGTAGTACTTAGAATACTTGGAATTATTCTAAGTTAAGTATTATGTAATATGCATCGCTACACGGCGTAAGTGCAGTGTTAGTTTTATGTAATATGCAAAAATTACTTATATACACCCACGGAGAGATTATGTAATTGGCAAAATACTCTCTGGCGGGGAGTCGAACCCCGCTCTCCCGCGCACTGGAATTACGTAAGCGTTACGTAATTCAGTGACAGGCGGGTGTACTATCCGATATACTACCAGAGACATGGGTATGATGTACTGGTACATATATATACACAGGCTGCTCATCACCCAACTGCTGGGGTTAGGTTGCCCCTCGGACTAAATACGCGGACCCGACACCACAGTGAAGGCCCCAGAGCTTCCAATCTTTATGCTCAGGGGTCGAGCGGCACCAGCATCCGGTCACGATCGGCGACCGTGACACCCACAGTCTCGGGAACTATTGACAGCGGCGGAAGTTCGCAGGAGCAACTTGACGGAATTACATGAGCCTAAAGCTGCCATTACCCCGTCTCCCGATACAACTGCTGAACTTACGCATATCTCAGACTTACGTCTCGTCTCCTCTTCTTCAAGCTCCTTCAAGCCCATTGCTACGCCACGCAAGCCGTCCTGGAGCCGCCCAGCTGCAGCCGCTGTAAACTGAAGAATCAGTCACGCCTACCTCCATGTCCGTGTCCGAACTCCGGCGGAGGGTAGGTCAAAGGCAGGAGTCCCTCCCGCTGCAAGCAGGTCGCGCGGAGGTTGTTGGGTAACGCTCAAGCCGACCACGTTGTAGACGGTTTCAACACGTGCAGTCGTTATGGACGAGACAGCCGAGAGGAGGTCCTCCAGTGACAGACGCGAGCCCAACACGGGTGTCACGCCAAGGGACTTCAAGAGGGGTTCATTACGGGAAGATGCGGTCGCATTGATGTGAGAGAACCGGGAGAGCGTTGCAAACTGAATCACTGCGACGGGATTAGTCGAGTGGCCGCCGAGCCGTGGTGAGAGGGCTTACCGAGCTGCCCTATGGACGAAGCGCCCCCAAAGATGGCAATGGGTTTGCCAGAGCATTTGCCACGTCCACTGCCTCCCAAAGAGCGGTGAAGCGGCCGCGCATGGGGCCTCCTGAATCGACACCTGCATAAAGCCTGGGGGCGACAGCCATCACGGCACTCGGTACCAGGCAGCTTCAACAAGAAATATCTGAGGGGGGGGCCTGAAAGTGGAATAAGGATCCCGACCTTACTAGATGAAGTGGGCCCGCGCTCTTCAAATATACTTTTTCAGTCAGTTCTGCCACGGTGGGCGCATACTACTAATAGCCAGCTCTACCCGACTCAAGGGAGGGGATGCTTGTGTGATGCTACCAGATGCAGAAGTCAGCGAGGTACATAGGAAGGAAGAGAAGTTTCCTTACACCCTATCGTATCTCCCTTGGCAAAGGGGGGGGAATCCATGACCGTGCTGAAAGGTCTACTCAGAGAATGGCCGGGTACGTATCGACATAGGCGGAGACTGATCTTCCATGGAGCTTGCGGTCGCCTCCACGTTGATAAGTTCATCTCAGGAACCGGGCGATGGGATGGGTCTGTCTTCCACTTCGAACAAGCCCACTAGTTTCTGGAGGAAGAGTGCTCTTGCTGTGCCATTTCTGCTTCTGGGTGAAATACTGCGTGCCCGTTTTCATACCTTGTTGCCCCCACCCCCCCACCTATAGCATACGCGTGTCTTGGGCCGAGAATGATTAGAGATATTTCTGCACAAGAAACTCGATCGTAGTATCTGAGCAAAGCAGCTCAGAGACTTTACCATGAAGCCCAAGGTCTGACGTACCCCTCAATGCGACCTTAGTCTACGGTGATGTTGAACTGCGATCTTCACTGCGGTCTCCTGGTTCGAACGCAGACGAGCGCAGGACCATCCTAATATCCGAGTCGACCGAGATGGAGCTGACTTAGCATGGATTCGCAACGATGCTAAGTCGGGCTTACTACCTGGAGTCCCCGATGTCAAATTACTCGACGACCGAGCGGCGTGTGTCAGCAGCAGTACTGGTGAACTTGATGCATGGAAACCAGTAATTTTCAGCAGTGCAGAGCTAGACATTTATTGTCAATACGACACATCATGTTTTGTCCGGAGTTGGGACTCACGCGTATGCCTTGTATGCATCTCGGCTCGCACTGTTTGCGGTGAAGCTTCTTTACCCATGGACGACGAGCCCCCTCGGGTATGGATATCTAAACTAAGCGTACTTAGGAAACAGCCATCCTTAGAGCCATACATTGTAAGTGAACGATCACACTGGATGAAGACAAGTGACATTGCGGTTCAACTTGGAAGTTGCCAGGGAATGAATCTGAACTGGCTCGCCTCCGTTTCTTAGTCGAGAGGTCCAGTATATTGGCATAGTATCCCAGCAGTTCCGTCATGTTCGCAGCCAGTGATTTTGGTGGTGGACGTCGACCGTACATCGGCGATCGCTGTGGCGCCGGCCAAGTTATGGGCCTTGTGGCTGAACATGCACAGTACGCGGACGGTCAACTTTTCCATTGTCCCTCCTGGTTCTGAAGCAGCTCTACCACTCTCTGACCTAACCCCTCCACCGGGAGTCAACTACGATGATGGGCATTCGTTCTTCCGCCCTGAATATCCTCTTTGTGAACGGAACTTGAGCGCGATCCAGCGCTTTTTGACACCGGTACTCAAGACTGGGTCGCCCGTCGCCCATGGGATTAATGTGGGGGGTCTTGTCGAGTAGAAGGGGACACCGGGCCAGCGAAGAGTTCTTGATAGAAACTGTCTCAGACTCCCTGCAGTTGCTCTCCGATATAGCGAGCGCAGGGTCTTCCGGGATGTTGCCGCCACGATACCACGTCCAGAATCACGAAACCCAACCCCGCACAGACAGAATATTGGGCTACTCAAGTCCGCTGTGGCCAGAATCATACTGAAATAGGATTCGTAACGTGGTACGTGGGGCCATTAGACGCAGATATCGTCACTGTTACTATGACCGAAGGATGAGTGCTTCTGGATGAGCAGATGACGGGTCTTTTTTTGCTCAGGATTACCAATGTGGTCGTGAACTGACTGCGTTCCGTTCCAAGGAGACATCCTAGGAGAAATATGCATTAGCTGTCGTCCTTCCTTGGTGATGTCTCGGAGGCAGAGTGAGAATGATGGGCCCGTCTCACAAGGTATGTATGTCCACCAAATATCCACGTGTTGACTGGAATTAAGCTGGGACTTGTGTAAAGTCATCGCGTCTCTTCCCTTCCCTGAGTCCAAAGTGAAAAAGATCTTTTCTAAGTCTGGGACCTTAGTGTGAGTGGATTTTGAGCGGTACCGTCGTCAATGCTATGCTAAGGACCACCTGGCTGGAGACCAGAAAGGTCTCGCACGTCTAGCTGGCTCGTTAGTGAGCGTGCTCTCGCATAAACATGCAGAGAACCACTAGCGGGTCAGGGTGTGATACAGACTTCAGGCAAATCAAAGGAAGCATTCACAGTCAAATTATACGCGCTCGGGCGAAGCGCAAAGGCCGATCGTATGAGTGTCGGCTGTAACTTGAACGTCTTGCACAAAAATACGTCAGGTAATGGTCTGCGTTGGCTACAATATGAGTGAAGTGCGTGCAAATTGCGCGTTGGTTAACACTGATTTCTGAAGCTTAACTAGACCGAGAGCCGCCTCCGCATTATATATCTAAGGAAGGAAAAGAACTCGACGAACTGAGTCCTCTATCGTACCATCTCATTCGCCGTTGCCAGCCACTCCCACATTCGAACGTACTACGCCGTCCACGCTGTCGAGCCCTCATCATATGAGCATCTGCTGACTGTGATAGGAATCCGACGACGACTTCGTCTGAATCGTCACGGCCTTCCTCGCTCAAGCTACTCCTCTCGAAGCTCTCGGCTTGACTACACATCATGCCCGAACGCCGCCTCCCTTTCGCAAATAGTTACGGTAAGAACCTTCGTAGTACAGGGTACGCGCCCATGCCGACCGTGCATGGCCGTGTATGTGGCTGAACAATGCGCTTCGGGGTTCTCTGGCCAATCAGAGTGCGCCGATCGCGACGCGTTCATGCATCGCGTCTCGGTCTCTCGCGCTTCACTGACAAAGCCTTCAAGTCCATGCAAATACGTTTGCTCCCAGTCTGCTTATAAGAGGGCTTATTCTCGCATTCTTCCGGCCCCCACAACCCCTCATTCCAGCCATGGTCATTCCGACAACCACTCGCGAGTACCGTCTCCCGAAGGTGCGTACTAGCCCAAAGTCTGAGAGTTTTAGCATCACATAGGAACCTTTGAACCCAGTACGATGGCTACCACAATCTAACCCTCAAAGAGGTCAGCCTGCTTCAGCCGAGGGCGAACGACGTCCTCGTAAAAATCGTCGCGGTCTCTCTGCAATTCCGTGACCTTATGGTCTCGAAGGGAACGTACCCGCTCGGAAATAAGGAGAACGTCGTCCCATGCTCCGACATGGCCGGCGAGATCATCGCTGTTGGCGCGGACGTCGAGGGCTTCAAGGTGGGCGATCGCGTTTGCGCGAACTTTGCGCTCGACCATGTCTACGGCGACGTGAACGAAAAGATCAAGTGGACGGGGCTGGGTGCACCCATCGACGGGGTGTTGACCGAGTACAGGAACTTTCCGGCGTATGTGCGTATCATTTGCCATGTTACGACCGATCATCCCTGCTGATTTAAGCGAGCAGTCCCTGGTCCACATTCCCTCCCACCTGTCCTACGTTGAAGCCTCTACCCTTCCCTGCGCAGCTCTGACCGCGTATAACGCCCTGAACGGCCCTACGCCCCTGAAGGCGGGCGACGCCGTGCTCGTGCAGGGCACTGGCGGCGTCAGCGTCTTCGCGCTGCAGTTCGCCAAGGCGTCGGGCGCAACAGTCATCGCCACCTCCTCTTCAGACGCGAAGCTAACAATAGCGAAGGAGCTCGGCGCAGACCACCTCATCAACTACAGGCAGACGCCGGAATGGGAGAAGGAGGTGCTAAGGATTACGGAAGGGAGGGGTGTAGACCACGTTGTGGAAGTGGGCGGCCAGGGCACATTGATGAAGAGCTTGGACTGCGTGAGGTATGCGGGGTGGGTCCATATGATTGGGTTCCTTGCTGGCGTAAGCGTGACCTTTACTGTCCTCCCCCATCTTTTGTCACTCATTCCTCCGTATCCGTATAATACAGTCTACGGACACCTCCGACGCCCCTCTCGTCGCGCTAGGCAAGGCCGCGATGATAAGAGGCATCCTAATTGGCTCGCGCGACCAGTTCGAGTCGATGAACCGTCTCATCATCGCCAACAAGCTCAAGCCCATCGTGGACAAGGTGTTCAGCTTCGAAGAGGCGAAGGAAGCGTATGCGTACCTTGACAGTCAGAAGCACGTTGGAAAAGTTGTGATCAAGGTATCGAAGGATTAAAATGTAAGTCGGAAAGAAGAGATGATCTTGTACCGGTATTTCAGTTCTACGTTACCTGCGTCCGAGATGTACTATTATCATGAGTAACGATATTTCTTAGGATTACGAGTCTCCGTGCCTGGCGATGTCTGATATCGCCCGACCTTCATTACGCATCCCAACAAATACCCGAACTCCAATTGGAAAGAACATACGATGGCTTCAAGTTACTATGATGACCGAGCTGACTTCCACGTTCGGGCATGTTGCAATGGCCAAATCTAGGAAGGACTCCTTGTTTGGACGAGTGGCGCCGCAACCAGAACATCCGCTCCTTTAGTAGGAGTATGTTATCGAGACAAGATGCTCAAGACCATGTAATAGAACAGCAACTGGATCATTTGACATGTTCGCTCAAGAGCTCAAGCAGAAGCCTACTCTGCTCTGAATCGTACACTGGTTGGAAGCATGGTCCCATTAGCTCATTGGTGAGGTGAGGTATGGTCGATCTGCACTACATTTATCAACTGTGAGCAGAATATATCCATCCTCCAGTACACAGGCTGAAATGCTTATACATATCTTATATTTGATTTTTGGTCTCCTGAGGACTTGCTACGAGTTTCTGACCACTAACGCGACCTTCTTCAAGGTCATTCAATCCCCCCGCTACGCCATGCAAGCCATCCGGGAGCACGCGCACAGGATTCGGCTACCAAGCACCAGTCAGATAAACCCACTCAAAGCAGGGACATCAGTCACTCTTACCTTAATGTCTCCTTTCGCAAGCAGGTCCTCGGGGCAGCAAAGAAGCTCAGGCTCAACTTCCTCAGCTCCGGACTGTGGGCGAAACCGTGAACGTAGAATACCCTCTTACGCGCCTGCGCGTCGGCCTGGAACGTCGGGGGAAGGGTAAGGGCTAGAGTCCCTCCCAGTGCGAGGAGGTCGTATGCAGCTTGCTGCGTGTCCCTGAGGCTCACTTCATCGTATATGATCTCGATGGGCGTGGAGGTGATGGAGGAGACCGCCGTGCGGAGGCTATCTCCTGATAGATTTTTGTCGATGACATGCGTCGCCCCGAGGGACTTGACGATGGATTCGTTACGGGATGACGCGGTGACGATGATGGGTGAAAAGCCGGATAGCCTCGCAAATTGGATCGCTGTAAGGCGATTGTGTGAGTATTCGCCGAGTCCTGGTGAGAGGACTTACTAAGTTGTCCTAGGGAGGATGCCCCTCCAAAGAACAACGAAGGGTTTACCAGAGTACTTGCCACGTCCGCCTGTCTCCCAGGGAGGGGTTAACCCGGCGCCCCCAGGGCCGTCTGGGTTGTCCTCAGCGTACAACCCAAATGCGTCAGCTACTGAGGCGCTAGGGATCGAGGCCGCTTCCTCAAGTGGTAGCTGAGACGGAACCTGAAGGTGTGAACACAAGAGAGGAATCCATCTTAACAAAATCAAGTCCGCATGCGCACGCCGTACCTTGGCTGTGAGTTCTGCTACTGTCAGGGTGTACTGCTGATAGCCGGCCCTGTCAGACTCGAACGATGCTTGAGTGATTCCGATTAGCGTACGCAGAAGTCAGGGGAAGTATATGAGAAGGCCGAGAAAATTCCTTACACCCTGTCTCCTTTTGCAAAGTGGGTGACCCCTTCGCCAACGTCTACGACCGTGCCTGCAATGTCCACTCCGAGAATGACAGGATACTTATCGACATAGGCGGAGACTAATCCCCTATGGAGTTTCCATTCTAGCGGGTTGAGAGCCGTCACCTCAACCTTGATAAGTAGATCTCCGGGACCGGGCGATGGGATGGGTCTGTCTTCCACTACGAACGCCCCCAGCGGCTTCTCGAGGAATAGTGCCTTTTGTTGCGTCATTTCTATCCCGGGTGGTGTGCGATATTGCAGATCGCCCGCCTGTCTTTATAACTTTACTAGACGCCGAAAGCGCACTGGTCTCGGAGGCTGGGATGACTAAGGAAGTCTCCGCAGAGAAATCAATGGTGATCTCTCCGCCAGTGAGTATAGCTCGGTGACTTCTCCTCGAGGCCCGAGGTCTGAAGTACGAATTGATGTGACAGTCTTGCAGCAGCCTACGGCGATGCTAAACTCCGATTTTCACTGGGTGCCTCTTGACGAGACATTATGATTCGCGCGTTCGCACGCAGAAGGGCCTGTGAGTATTCGTAACGCCGAGTGGACTCAGACTGGGCTGCCTTGGCATAGACTCGGGCTGACTACGGAGTCTCCGTCGTGAGATCACTATTGCATATGAATCGACGAAGGTCGCATAGGATTTATCATTGACAGGAGGAATGAGGTTGATGGATGCACAGGTAAGACTGGTTCAACCGACAGGAGAAAACAGTCGAATACTCACATGATGTTTGTCTGACTCACATAGGGCGTGCTGCCCACTTCGAAGCTGAGTTGATGAGCGGCCTCGGGCATGGGATCTGGGCGACAAGTGCATAGCGGACAATGATACTGAGAAGCATATCTGCCTGTAACTTGTATCGTTTACTGAAAGAGCCGTATGTTCAGATGGATATATGCGGTTCGAGTGGAATTTGAGAGATGTGTCCGAAGTAGCTAGCTCACCTCCATCAACCAGCTCCTGTTAAATCCCGTAAAAACGTACAGGTCGCGTTTGGAGGCGGTTGAGAAGAACGTTGAAGTCACCTTAGGAAGTACGGAAGAAGAAGTTCAAGATAATAGATATCTCCAGCATCCGACGTGCCTTGATCCGCCCTGGTCCGTAGCGAGAATATCGCAAGAAGAGATAAAAGGACATATGTCGTACGTATACACGGCATAGTGCATTGGCAGTCACGAACGAGGTTGAGCGAAGCACTTTGATTTTTGCGCCGATGGATACAACCTCTTCAGCGCTGGCCCAGCTCTTGCACCTCCTTGCGCAGCGCCCGGACGTGCAGGAGAAGCTGCGTCTCGAACTAGATGCGGCGTACGAGAACGGTGAGCTTGCGCACGGTGAGGTTGTTGGACTACCGTATCTTGATGCCAATCTGCAGAGCGACGCTACGGCTGTGAGTCCTGGGCTGTATCCATCAGCCCGGACCCTAGGCTTACTCTGAGTTCGTAGGTACCCTCCAGTGCCTTTCGTGGGTCGCATGTCCGAGGCTCCCAACAATCTTCTACCGGGGCCCGCCAGAACCCAAGAGGATCCAATGCTTCCATTGTCAACACCGATTGTCGGACGGGATGGGACGAAGATACGCAAAGTGTTCGGCCCGCAGGGAACGCGTTTCTTTGTCAGGATAATGGTAGCGAACCGTGGCAGAACCTCTGGGGCGACGATCCGGAGGATTAGAAGCCTAAACGGTGGCTCTCGCCCCTGCCAGATAATGTCAGGGAAGCACACGACCCTGGAATCTATGCGAGCTTGTGAATGGCCGTACCGCATCCTCCTGAAAGGATGGCCCTGAAATTGTCAACGACAGGATGAATTTCTTTGGCGGAGCACGGGCGTGCATGTGAGTGTAAGCCACGAGCTTTGAAGCTGGAAATCGCAGACGGCTGTTCAGAGGCTTCAAACTCGCGAAGCTCCAGATGAGTGCGTATAATCCTCCTCAGACCTTGAAGATCGCAGGTTTATCACGGACAACCCACAAAAATATTCCTGGCGACGCTCATCCGGGCGTTCACGTTCTCGCGCTCTGCCAGAGACATCGAAGGGCTTATGGGGAACACACTGACCCCCAGCATGGAGGGTTCAAGCACGTTTGGTGCTCAATGCTGAACCAGTTGCCCACGACCCATAGCGAAGGGTACCCGTGGAGAAACACTTGCTCCGTAATGGCTTGTATCTGTCTGTATTGACAAAGACGACTTCCGAGGAGGCCTGGGACGACTGCGTAGCACGTTATATATGTTCAAGGGCCGCAGAATACATGAATACGTACTGCCACATAGCTGCGAACGTATTGTATGGCCGGATGTGGACCGGGGACATGAACGCGGTACCTGTGCGGTACCCATCCCTCTTCACGCAACTTGCGTCTTGCCATGATGGTTGTTACAGCACGCCCATGTCGACGCGTCTTACCTCAAGGAGTCCCTGTACGTCGTATATGATATCGTTCGGTATTTTGCTGCCGTTTCTCGAGATGGATATACGATGCCACGAAGGCGCTTTATGATTACGCGGAGTCGGACGTGTGTACATCTTGTCCAAACCGTCCGACGCGTAACCTATCCATAAACAAACTCGTACAAATCTCTGCACTGTAACGGCTGCTCAATTTCTCTCACTTCATGCTGCGATGACATCTACCATCCCGACCGAAGATGAGCTCAGGCAAAGCCTAGTAGCCTTGAAATCAGAAAACCCCAGCCTAGGCATCCCAAAGCTGCACGCGCTCCTTGTCGTGGCCCACCCAGACTGGACAGTCAGTGAGAAGCGCACGCGCAAAATCTTGCAAAGCGCGGGTCTGACGAACGCGCCTGCCTCAAAAAGACAGTATCCGTCATCACAGATCATCAAGGACCTAGATATCGCGAAATGGACGGCTAAAGTTGAGGTGAAGGATTTCGGGAGGCAGAAGGGGAAGGGCCTTGTCGCGAAGGAGCGCATTGAGGAGGTGGAGGTGGTCTGGAAGGAGGACCCGTTCGTCCTCGCGCCTGAATGGTATGTACTTTTTACCCAACTAGCAGAGGAATACAATGGCAGATAGACCGGTAATGTCAACATTCCTTTTGACTTGCATAGGGAACTCTACGACCTCCAAGCCACCTCTCGCGCCTGTACGTACTGCTCCACGCCCCTCACCGACAAACCCATGGCGGTCGACTGCCCCTCCTCCACTTCCTCATCCTACTGCCCCGCGCGCTTTTGTAACCGCCTCTGCCTCTCGCGCTCGGGTGCCACCCACTCCCTTCTCTGCCCCTCGCGCAACCCCGCTGCTGTTCCGCTCATCAACTTTGCGCGACAAATGCAGTGGCAGACGCTGCATTCGCTCGCGCAGTGCACGGCGAGGTTGCTGCTGGCGTGGCAGCAGGGTGAGGAGGCGTTTGAGAATGACTGGAGGATTGTGCAAGGCCTGGCGGTGCTAGGGATGGAGGAAAGGTTTGCGGATCTCGCGTGCGTGAAGTCATACTCACGACGTTATGCGTGTGGATAGCTGATAGGGAAGCAGGAGCAAGGGTGTGGAGCCGGACCGCGCGACGTGGAAGAAAGCCCACCAGTTGTTCGTGCATGCATTCCAGGACCCGCCGACCGAGCAAGCGAAGAAGAAGCTAAGCAAGATACTCAGAAAGCCCCTCAGGGAGGACGTAGCGAAAGAACTATTCGAATACGACGGCTTCCTGCGCGGTCTAGGGCGGATGAACCTCAGTATGTCCTGATCTTACGCCCTATCCTCGTATTCATATCTGGACTGGGGTGTATTGACACACGGGTACAGATCAGGAGACGCACGGCGGCATCTACGTCCTGCACTCGCACCTCAACCACTCCTGTAGGCCCAACATCTCTGTGCGGCACCTCGACCAACGCACCGCGCTCTCGCGCATCACCGTGCTCGCCAAAGCACCCATCGAACCGGGGGAGGAGCTCGTGGTGAGCTACGTCGATCCCGAAATGAGCGTGAAGGAAAGGAGGCGGCAGCTGCAGCAGTGGGGATTCGGCGCATGCGGCTGTGAAAAATGCGTAGAGGAGGAGAAGGGGCTGCCCGGGGATGAGAAGGGGGACGAGCTGGATGGGCTGGCGAGTGAGCTCAAGGCGGGGTTTGGGGTTGGTAGCCTAGCATGAGGTCAAACAATTATGCAAAGGGAATCCACACACAGGCCCGAGGCCATTTCAAACCATCACCCATTACATGACCTCGGGGTCTGCTCGTAAAGTATTGTAATGTGATCTGCTACCTTCCCGCTGGTATACGGGCGACAATATTGTGCCCGTTAACATCGGCAGTACCAGCGTCTACCTTTCAACCACATTTTGTATGGATGACTAGGTAATGGTGAGGATACGAGGCGGCTTTATACTCTGTGTTCATGCCACATTACCAAGCATCAAGCTGATTAGCTTGAGGCGCCTAAGAAGCGGAAATTGGTCTGAAAAGCTACATAACTCTGTATTAGAATGCGTTTGTGGCCTACCGGGTCACGGCAGGGTGATTTACATGGATCAGTACCTCTTGTAAACTAAGCCAAATAACTCTACTTACCAGCCATCGTTTCACGGCGCTTGCGCGCTCCCGCCACAGCTTCCAAAAGCAGTGGACAACGAGCGCCTATTTAGGCGCAAATTGCCTTATCCGGTAACTTCTAGGTGCTTCTCCTCCCTCCCCGAAGCCACCGCCACAATACTGCCCCGCCCGCGCAGTTGAGTGCAGTGTATGGAGTGACTTCTCGAAGGTACGAGCGGGGCATACGCGTCCCGACGCGTAGGTATGCGCTGACAGACATGATTGGTAAGACATGGAGGGGGGGTATAAAGGCTGGGAGTGCGGTAGATAGCTTCACTTCACTTGTTCTTCACAACACTCGGTACTCCACGCTCTTCATTCAATCCACAATGTTCGCAGCATACACCGTACCTGCTCTCAGCTTCGACCCGACCGTATTCCACCCACACTATCGGCGGCAGCCAACAAGACTCGACGCCATGTACGTCGCCGCTCTGGAGCAGGAGCGCAGGAGGCAGGAGGAAGAGGCGTACTATTACCAGGAGATAGCCAGACGCCAGGAGATAGCTAGACGACGGCGCGCGGAGAAAGAGTACCAGGAAGCCAGCCGGAGACGCGTTATGCAGATCCAGGCGCTGCACGAGCATAGACGCCGCGAGCAGCTGGAGAGGATGCGCCGGCAGCAGGAGGAAGCCGAATACACTCAGCTGTTGAGCGCTATGAAGAGAGTACAGGTAAATAGCAGTATCTTTGATTGTGGAATCGGACGGGGCGCTGATCGATGTGAATCGCAGGCTTACACACACTCGCGAGATGGATGGTATTCCAGTCAGAGGGAAGATCACGCACGCCAACATGTCCATGGAGCTCAGCAATCGCGGGAAGGTGTGTTCGTGACCCTCGGAGACCTGCTCAACTCCTTGTACGAATCTCCAACGCCCGAGTCAGCAGCTACCCAAGCGGATGTCAAGGGCAAAGGGAAAGCCAAGGAACCACTTCCGTCTACTATAGATGAGGAAGTCGATTTGGACCGTCTCACCGCGCAAATCAAGGAAGAACTCCAAGACCAACTGTGCCGCGGGCGGGACGAGGACATGGCTGAAACTCTGCGGGACCTGGTTGACGGTATCAGCGTTCACACACGCAGCTCAGAGGCACCAGAAGAGGGAAAGCCGGCGCAAGAGAACCGGGAGGAAGGGCCTTCGAAGTCGTTGAAAGAGCGGCTCCGGGAGCGCCTGGAGATGGAGCAGGACCCGGAGATCCGACGGGACATCCGGGACCTTCTATCGGCCCTCGCAGCTACCCAAGAGACGATGAGCGCACGTGTCAAGGGGAGGGCAAGAGAAATTGATGCTGAAGTTGGGTCGCCTACGCCCGAAGTGAAGCCACGGGGTACTCCTGCCACACCCACAACTGACAGGGAGACTGCGGCATCAACTATCCTGAAGTTCTACCGCTCCTACCGCACACGGCTCGCCTCTTTCAAGACCATCGGCGAGATACAAGCGTCCCTCCGGTCACTCGAGGCAGCCTTCACTCTGCCTCCCCACCTCGACTTCCTCCCCTCCCCTTCCACTGAAGAATACAAGCTGGCGTACACCTCAAACAACACGGCCCTTCTGATGTACGAGCACGCGCTGAATGGATTGCTTGGCAAGCTGGACGAGGTGGAGAGCGGCGGGGATGATAAAGTCAGGGGACGGAGACGGAGCGTTGTAAGGGAGGTGGAGAGGGCGCTGGAGAGTCTCGGTGATATGGTGAAGCAGATGTGGGACGCGACACAGGTTGCCGAGGAGGAGGGGCATGAGGTGTTCACTCCGATCGTAGAGAACACTCAGGCCACAGAGCAGGATCAGCAGCCCCATTCTTCTCCCATGCAGGTTGCCGGCGAAGAGCGGGAGAAGGTGGCCGTCGCTGTCGAGGACTCTCAAAGCACCGTTGTGGCTGCAGTGCAACTCGACGAGGAGCAAGGGAAGGTGACCATTCCCATTAGAGAGGGCGATCCGACGAGTCCGGCCGAGCTTGGACCCCAGATTGATGTGCCAGGGGAGCCAGCTATCGTGACAGAGCACGCAGAGGTATCACAAGCAGACCATGGTGCTGGGGATCACTCCGCAAAGTCTGCGCCGGACACCGTGGCGTCCGATGGAGGCGAAGTCTCCGAGACTAAGACAGACGGACCGTCTGGTACCCTGCTCGACGGCCCTGAAGAAAGCGTGCAGCCTCCCACTGACAGCGAAGACCAGCCTCCGAGCACACAGGATGAACCCGAGCTCGAAAGGTCTTCCCAGGAGTCCGAAGACGTTCAATACGCGCTTGAAACATTGGATGGCGTCCCCCACGCCGAAGTCGCCAGTCAACAAAAGAAACTGGAACCGGCGGATGCTCAACCGCCGTCGACGGCTTCCGAAAAGCCCGTCGAGAACACGCCGACCGCGGCGATGTCGATCCAACCCAGCAGTAGACCGGAGACAAGGGAGAACTCTGCGCAGACTGAGGAGGACGTGGCAGTCGCTCCTATCGCATCTGCCGCAGCCTCGACTGAACAAGGTGCCGGGAACTTCGATACGGATGCACAGGTGGACACGTTCTTGCTACCCGCCCGGAAGGCAGAGTCAGACTCGACCACTGGTATTGAGTCGGACAGTGATGATATGGTAGTTGTGAAGGAAGATAAGGACCGAGATGAGAGCAGCGAATGGTCGGAGGTGGAGGGGTAGGCATAATTCGTGGGCAGGAGTGGCAGGTTCCGGCAGGATATTGATGTACATATTTCCTCCCAGTCGATAATGGCACTGCGTGAGCATTTGCAGAGGACTGTAGGATACATGAATCGGTATGCCTTGTACATCCACGTGCACCGGTCGAGTTGCGAGTGAATTCTGCATTGCGCAGCACGGTGTTACGCATATGTGATAGGGCTCGATAACACTTGGAAGTTAGTGGTGCGAGTATGGAAACGTCGACGATCACGGCAACCACAATGCCTTGCCTTGACGACTGCAGACGACGTACCCATTCCCAGCTTCGTCTCACTAGACAGTGCTTGCTGGGGTACCTCGCTGCGTTGCGGAACCACTGTGGGAAGCTCGCTAACACCGGGATGTCAGGGCCTAGCCTAGCTGTTAATTCTCTGGAATCTGTAGCGAGCAAGTCGAGGTGGAGAGACGGTGACTGATCCGATTGTAGGATGATGGGCCTTAAGTCGACGCAAGCTGCCGCAGGTGGGGAAGAAGTACCTCTCAGCCTCTCGTCGCCAATACTTTGACGAAACCAACGGCGGTTCAATCAGCTTGCCAGAAGACGGGAACACCCCAGGCAGCTCCAGGGCGCAGCTGCTGCGATCAAGCATATCGAAGATGTCGCGGGATCGGGATAAATGGTCACTTGTCACACTGAGCCCGTCCAACCTTCCTCCAGATAATAATAACATAGTAGCACAAACTATAATCCAACGAAAGCAAAACAACCCACCCGACGTACAGATACAGCATTTGAATAATAAAAAGTTATAGAACAACCACGGCAGTGGTCAAGGCGAACCCTAGTGACGGTAACTTGGACTCGAAAGCACCGTGGGACGAAAGGAGTGAACGGGCTGCCTCTAGCAGATCCAAGAGCGTGCGAGAAACAGATGAAGAGCATCTATCATGATCAGCACTGGTCAATCAGACTATTCTTCGGGAAGGACTGCCCAAAGTCATCGGTCCACGTGGTAAGGTTAGGGTTAGTATACTGTGCATGGGAAAACGGCGATCAGTATCCCCGTAATGGACCCTACGATGAACGAGCTTACAGCCTCCATGAACCTGTCGACAATGTCAGATTTCCTGCAGTGGGGCATTTAGAGAGAAGGCACTCACGCATTGATATAACTCTGCGTCGGGAAATCCTCCGGATCACACCCGACGTTGATCTTGTCCTTCGGCTGGTAGACCCGGATCCAGTCGACCTTCATCGTCACCGGCCAGGGCATATTCTCCACATCGACAGTACCGGTGAAGGACGTGGACATCCCCAGGTTGATGATCATGTACTGTGTTCGCGGCGCAGTTGAGTTTAGAGGCATTGGCAACGAGGGAAGAACGGTATACCATGGGCTCCTGCGGGATGGGCCGCGCGGAGATTTGCGTCTCGGGGTTGGCGCCCACTCCGCCTACCTCCAGCGTCCATGCCTCTTTATCGTCTGTGATCCATGTTATATACTACCGTGGCGCTCGATGTCAATTGATTCCTTCCGCGAAACGATGCACTCACGGCGTCATCGAAGCCTACGACACTATCATCAATACGCTCTCCGATGGGAGATGTGAAGAACCCTTACCAGGCTTGTACTCAAACCCATAAGTAGAAAAACAGTCACCATTGCCTTCATAGCACTCCTGATCTATATAATACAACAGCGTCCCCAAAGGCGTTCAGAGCACCGGATAACACTTCAATATGACGACATACTTGTTTGCGTGATCGCGGACGTAGCCTGCTGATATATCCCGCCCCCGTACGTATTCTGAATTGTGATCGTCTTGTCCACAACCTTGAAATTGTCCGAGGTGTTCTGCCACTTGTAGTTCGCATCGAAAGGCTATTTCGATAACTCCAGTTAGAATACATCCAAAAGTAGCAGTGAGACAACGAACTTACCGCCCACTGGCACGATTGCGACACCTGCCCTACCGACGGCGCACCATCAAAAAGCGGCCCAATCTAGAGTCGCACACTCCATCAATACCCAGTCCATTCCGCCTGACTACAAGTAACTCACCTGTGCCTCAAACATATCGATCTCGGGCGCGCTCCTACCCACGTACGTGTTGTCCGAGTGCATCGGGCCGGGGTGTGTCTCTCCGGGGCATGTACACCTTGACAGCTTCTGCCCCGGGAGGTACGAGAGTGGGCCGGGCTTCGTCGGGTCGACAGTGCTGATTGCGGGGGGCACGCCGTTGATTGACTGGTTCTTGACCGTGCCGACATCGCACGCGTCGTAAGAGTACGGCCACTGACGGGATCAGATAGGTATAAAAAGTTCAAAAGCGAGGGAGGAATAGTACGCACCATGCCCTCCAAGCTGGCCCCGTATCCAGCCCTCCCTACGCACCGTCAGAATGCTTACCGCGCTGTGACTGATCCTGGATCCAGAGGAACTTACCTAAGTTTCCCATAGTCCATATTGCCGGCCACAGTCCAATCACGTTGTTGACCCCGGGCAGACTGACGGAGGCCTCGAACCGCCCGCCCGTGAAACAAAACTTGTTCCACGTAGACATCATCCCGCCCATATAATCCATGCCCTTGATCTTGTGCGGCTTGAGCGTGACGTGCAGCGCACCGTCCTTCGTGGTGATCGCGTCGGGGTGATACCACTCCATGTCTCCCGTCTGTCCAGCACATCCATTGGCGTCTGGTGGTGTTTGAAGCAAAAAACAAGAATTCCCGGCTTACCTGCCAGTAATGCAGATCAACCGCCTCCCAATACGGATCGTCCCCAGGGAAGAACGTCCGCCCGTCCACATTGAACTCGTCGCTAAATACTAGCGTCCATTCGCTCCCGTCGCGCAGCGCGGTTTTTGTGTACGACTCCTTGGGTGTGTCGAGATCTATAAGGCCCCAGTTGCCCGACATGCTCGGAACCTTTTATCGCCATTGGTCGTGAGCGGAAATGACGGGGAAACGGAAGGGTCGAAGGGACGTACCTGGCCGGTGGCGTTGGTCCGAAATAGGCCGTTGAGGTTGTGCGTCGTGAAATAGGTGGTGATTGGATACCCCGCGCTGGGAGAAAAATTCCCGCCGTCAATCAGTTCATTAGCACACCCGCCCACTCCCATACTCCAACGCAAGAAAGCCACACTTACAACAGTGCAATTAGCCCGAGCGCCAACAGCGCCAAACACCCCAAATTTACTATTCCCCGCCCAGTAAACAGCGTCCCGCCGCGATCCCAGGAGTGGTCCCGTCTTGGGTCGGGGTTGTGCAGGAAGTCGTCCGGCTCGGGCTGGTTGGAGAAGAGGTGTGCGCCCCAGACGTTCGGGTCCGAGTGCGAGTGGAAGGTGTCGACGAAGCGGGCGGTGCCGGAGCGTTCTTTCTCATCAGTGACGGCGCTGTATGATGAGTGATTCTGCGTTGGCATCGCGCAAGACAGCGTAGAACATGATAAGAGCGGGAGCAGAGTCAATTATAAGAAACCCTACCAGGGAAGTGGTGCTAGACATGCTCCTGAGCGAGCGGGGCCCCTGGGCGAATGTAGGACGAGGATCAGGTCTGTCTGAGCGCGGAGAAGCAGGCGGAAGGAGGGAAGCTGTGGACGACGAGAAGTCCTGCGGGTCCCCCTCTGGCCTCCTCTGGAAATTTAGTGGGCGGACTGGTAGTGTGCCCGCCATGTTCGGATTCAAGTTGCAAGCGGTGGGTTTCAAGGAATGTCAGGACAGAAAGAGTGTTCGAATTGTCGTCTCAGAATCAGGGTCAAAGTAGGGGGGTATCGAAGTCGATCCAGTCGCAACGAAAGCACCGAGTGGTGTGCACCAGTGATTAGTGCTAATCGTTGGACGGGCGACGAGAGGGGTATCTCATGCGGGACGGATTTCGGTGGCGGTCATTGAGGCCGTACGGGAATTCGAGGTTTGATTGGCGGTTGGCCATGGTGCGAACGCTGCCGTGTTGTTGATCATGATCACGCGAGCATCATTACAATCGCGACCGGGACCAATCAAACCGCGTTGATGGCGTCGTGTCGGCCGTACACGGCGATGAATATGCTCGGTGTAAGCAGCGCAGACGAATCGTCGGTGTGCAAATATTCGTCTGCGCGGCGGCTGCCCACGGTGTACGATGTGCCCACCGTCGATGTTGGATCTCGGTACAATGACAAACTCGGGTTGAGGAGCAGCACAATTTCAGGTCCTGGTTGTCTCCAATGGTTGTCTCCAATGAGAGGTCTAGGGATGCCCCAACATGATAGTGATGATCGTCAAAACCTGTATGTCTAGATTTGACGCGGTAAGCGTGATCTAGGTGCGATTATGTAATAAAAGCATACCATAGAGGGAAGTAGCAGAGGATGAATGATCTATGTCCTCCAGCTTAGTGTAAGGGGTAATAGGTCGGAGCCTTACTTCACCGAGTAAATTAACAGTCGCGGTCTGGGGGGGCTAATTTACCCTGCGTAATTCACGGTTAATTAACCAGAGCGGGGACGGGGCAAAGCCCCGGGCTAAAGAGCTATTTGGCGTCAATTAACGCATGAATTAGGTATATTTTACCGGGAAATCAACCGTCAAATAGATCATTTCGGTATGCTACCACTTATCCCATTCCAGCGGCGTGTCATCCATAACCGCATCATCCGACACATCTCTATCGCTGTCCACGGTCTCTATGGAGGGGCCCTGTGGAGTGTCAGAGAGGACATCGTGCAGGCGCGACAAAAAAAAGGCCACTAGAAATTGGCCGAAGCTTTTAGTTACCGGTCGGGCAGCCACAGGCCTGCTATAGCTATACCGACACATTTCTCAATGAAGTACATATAGCGTATGGGTAGTCTAATGTAAGAGCGTACAGACATAACTGCAGTAGGCACAGGGAGGCGCTAGGGATACAGACAGGACAAGGGGACCTCTT